GAGAGCTCGCGATGGCATAAGGGGAATGAGAGACGGAAATAAGATACGACACAGCTGATACGCCTTCGCCCACCGATTACGCGCGCTAGGTGTACGCCAGAGATTGTCGATGATGTCATTCTCGACTATGGATACATATATATATATACTCCGCGGCGAGCCAAGTGCAGGACATTGGCTGGCCGATTATAGATATACGCGGACACGAAGGGCGCCGGGATGCCGGGCGAGGAGAACTTTCAATGGAGCATGCAAATTTCATTATCGATTCGTAAATAGTGCGAAACCGCATTTCAATTGGGTTGCTCCGATAATACCCGTAGACAGTCACGGCGCTTTGCCATTCAGAAAATACGTGAGCGAGAAAATGACAGAGAACTGACGTAAGAAATCAGCTGTAACATGACGTCTCTCTCAATTTATCTCATATAGCTGATTCCTTGTGTATAATTTATGTTATTTATAATATAATATAAAAAATAATATTATAACATATCTTATTAATATTATATGAACTCTCAAATCTGCTCTGTAAACATTGTTACGATCTTTAAGAGATATTCTGTTAGCTTTCTTCTTCGCGCACTAATTAAATTAATGAATATTAATTTTTGTATAGAGGCGTCATTATTATCATCTGTTCCGAATTAATGATTTCAAATTACTTATATATCCGCTTATACATAAGTAATGCGAGACGATAACATGTCAAGTTATATCGGCCCAACCTCGGTGAATTCGCTTGACAAACCCCGACGGGACGAAATTCGTGTCGGCGACAAAGTGAAGGGAGGTTTGTGTGTTGTTCCGAGCCGGAGCAAGCTGCGCCGGCGATATCAATCATCCTGCGCGACCGAGAGCGGGACTTTCACCACGCGACGTACGACGACAACGACGAACGCCGCGGAGACATCGATGCGCGGCCGGCCATGCGGAGGAGATCGTAACGGCCCGTATACGCTATACAAAACTTTTCGATTTGACGACCATCGGGGGGTTCTTCCGTGCGATCACCTCGCGCGGGTCGCGTCCCACCCACGATCCATCATCGCGCTACCATCGCGCGCACGAGTGAAGGAGAAATCGCGCCGCAACGATTCAATGGTATCGTTGATCCGTTCCGCACGGCGGGGATCGGTAGCGCGCTCGATCCGGCCGATCGAACGTCATGCGCTCGATCAAGACCATCTCCCGCTCGCGTCCCGCCTACGCACGATTGCCGAGATAGAGAGATGATGAAGAAATAAGCCGAGCGGAAGAAGGAGACGCCGAGTTCGTATATCGCCGCGACTTTTCGTGTATCACCGAGTGATGAACTCGGAAATTTGCCTTCTTCCAGAAGGCAACGAATATTTTGCTATACCTTTAACTTGTTCTCAAATTTTTATGCATTTATAATTAGTGACATATAGCTGGCAGTGTATCAATATTATATGTATAATTGAATTATAATTATTATAACTGCGTACGAATTCAAGATATATAAAAAGTGCCTTATTCGTAAAAATAACTTATTTAAATGTGTAAATTCATATTTTTATGCAACATAGTATACTGCATATTTATTTGTACACAGATGAGGCATTTTTTACATATAGCTTGAATTGCAGTGTGCACACTGCAAATCCAAGTGTGTAAATCTGTAGTCACTTTTTATACGCGTGTTATATTTTTATACATTTTATCTGTGTTTTACACAGTTAAATGCGTATTTTTTACACGCTTGCACATATTATTGTAAAATTAAGCGTGTAAAAATACGCATTTAACTGTGTAAAACACAGATAAAATGTGTAAAATATAACACGCGTATAAAGTGACTACAGATTTACACACTTGGATTTGGAGTACAGGATTATCTAACGTGGTATATAAATTTGATACGTTTATAATACAGATGCGGATCGTATTTCGCGCTAACGTCAATACATTTTAATAGAAAAGACTCGCGATGACGTATCTCGCGGAGGAATATATTGTCGGGAGAGAACGCGACGCGCGAAAGGGCGCGTGTTAAGAGCTACCACTGAAATGCGCTGCGCCATATTTCTCAGGACGAATTTTATTGAGGAAGTTAGGCGGAGGCCTGGCGAGGAGGTGGAGGAGCGGAGGGGGTGTACCCGGGAAGTATTGAATTCATCGGTATACGCATTGTCGACAAGATATACGAAGCTGGGGGTTACGGGGTTAAGTGGGCCCTGTACCTCCGGCAAATAAGTCTCCCCCGCGTTCGCGTATGGCGCAGTTTCGCGCGCGCGAGTCGAGCGTTGCGGGCGCGTGTGAGAGCGTCGCGGACCCGTGCATGCATGCATGCATGCATGCATCCGTTGTCTCTCGCATGCCTCCGAGAGTGCATACCCACCCGGCCACGATGCCGCTGCTCTCCGGCCGCGGCGCAGGCCAACCGCGCTTTCTCAGGGCAATTTATAATCGTACGGGTTCAATGCGAGACCGTGTGGGACGCCCGGGAGAACAAAGAGACACCCCGTAGTAGTAGACGCGCGCGGCGCAACGCAACGCAACGCGAGGCGAAGCGGCGCGGCGCTCACTCTCTCTCTCTCTCTCGGCGATCTCTTCTCCTCGGAAGGAGAGAAGGATCTCCCGGGACGGGAGGAACGCCGCCTTCGCCAACGTGTCGTTGATTAGTGCGCTTGAGTACGCGCACGGAGTACTCGTTAGAGCGATTCTTCGGGATCTCCCGGACGTTGGGTACCACCCCCTCCCCCTCGGCGGGGGACTTCTCCTCTCGCAGTCTCTCTCGCGGCCGCCGCGCGACGACGCGCCCATTCGCGGACTCCAATTAAAACTTTACGACCCTCGCGACGGGATGTTGAACAACTGAAACTTGCGCGTGCGTCGCGCGGTATGTCGCGGGGGACGCATTCCGCGATTAATTTGTGTTTCACGCGTCATTATATTGTCTTTACAGTAATATTTGCGCGACCGGCCGCGCCGCGCCGCGCCGGTGCGGGGAGACCGGTTTCCCTGCTCGCGCGACGACGGTAAACCTCTTCGGGGGCTGATTGTACACTCGAATTCCGCGCCGAGTCGATGTTCCTCGACATTCATTCCTCGAGATCTTTTCTTCTGATTCTACGCCGGCTATAGCATTATATATGTCTGTCGGATTTATATTTTACGTTGACACTTTGTGTCAACTTTGTTTGCTGTAAAAACAATCGAAAGGATAATTTCAATTTTTTGTCGAGAATATGGATAAGGGCTATAAAGACACGACGCGTACGATTTCGATATAGAGATTGCCGCGACCGCGGCCGAGGATAAACGCTGCTGATTTCTGAGATCAGAGATCATATCTGGATGTAATCCGCGGTGAAGGCGATCCTGGGTATACGATCCGGGCGAAAGGGGCATCTCCGTGCGTGAATATTGTTTGTACGTAACTTACATATATACAGGGAACAAGAGGTATACAAAGCGGCGGCGGTTCCACGTGACCCGCGACCTCGCCTCTAATGAGCGGCAAAGCTTACGGCTATTGTAAGGGAACTCTCCTCCTCCCCCTCCCGCGTCGTTTCGAGGGCTTCTCTCCGTTTCCTTCGTGCTCTGCCCTCCACCCGAATCCTTTCTCCGGCCTATGGCCGTGCTCTCGTACGTTTTAACTTGAATACAATAAGACAGAAGAAAATTCGATCTCCTCCTCCGTCTCTACGATTCCACGTGCATTTATCATAGCTTACGTATGCTAACTTGCCCGTCTTACAAAAGAAGATTAAAAAAATATATATTATCATTCGACTCTCTAAAAGTGAATCAGTGAAATCATCACTAATTGTCAGTGTGTATTATTTTCCAGTGGCATACTTAGAACTGTGATAAACAGTGACTATTTCAATGTCGCTTTCAGTGATAATATACTGATTCAAACATGAATATCACTGAAAGACAATGAATGTCAAATAGTCAAATTCACTGTCTTTCAGTGATATTCACTGTTTAAATCAGTACATTATCACTGAAGCGACATTGAAATAATCACTGTTTATCAAGGTTTTAAGTATGTCATTGGAAAATGACATACACTGACAATCAGTGATGATTCCACTGATTCGCTTTTAAAGAGAAGAATTGATATGTAAAGTCCGTCGAAACCTCCAAATTTTAACAATAAATTTTTACAACCAATTTAACATTATTGAGCTTCTTCTTCTAAAATCGAGATATTAATAGATTTTTTATTGAAAAGCCAACCTAAGTTGTTAGCTGTCGACTTTCTATATATTTAACTGGAATATAAAATGTTCTCGCTCGATTCGCGAGTTATATCAGGTTATAGGGGTGCTAAATATGACAGTGTCTCCGACGCGCAAGGTCTCCGCGCGAGTCGCGATGACCGCGCGCGGTCATCGCCAAGAAGGAAGATCGGCGATTCCGCGAAGCGATCGACAAGAGGAGAGAGAAAAAAAAGGATGAGACGCAACGGGAGAAAGAGAGAGAGAGAGAAACGACCCGACCCGAGCGAACCCGCGAGCTCGCCGCCACCGTTCTTGTCGGGCGAATCGACGGGCGCGGCGAAGGGGAACACCCTGTACATGCCGACGACATTCCCGAAGTGCAGCGTGCAGTTTTTCGCGGCTGTACCAGTGCAGCGGGTATAGCCTGTGACGAGCGAACGAGCGAGCGAGCGAGTGACTCAGAGGCTTCGAGACGTATAGACGCGCAGGGGCGAAACACAACACGCACGTGTGCTCCCTTCGCGTATACCTATGCGTCGCCTCTACGTGCATCCGCGTGTACACGTGTATACACGCGCGCGCTCCACTCGTGCGTGCGTGCGTGCGTTGCGTACGCGCGCGTGTGCATGCGCACGTACCGGCCGGATCGCGCGGATCGATCGCGGAGAGAGGAGAGGAAAAAGGGAGAAGAGAGAAGCGCGAGATTTATTTGCCCGAATTTTGATGGCCGCCGCCGTGGCCGCGCCGCGCCGCGCCGCGCCGCTTCCGAGGAATGCATCTCGCATTCGGGATCTTTCGCGGAATATGTCTTACGGCGGATTCCCTCCGAGGGGTTCCCCTCGTGAGTGCGTTCGATCGTTGCTTTTCCACCGACGTTGCACCGAGCTCGCTCTCGCCGCGGAGAGTCTTCAGTGTCTGGCTGCTGGTTTAAAGGACGATCAGGTCAAAGACACGAGTAAATATCTCGGATAAGATTTTCGCGATTTACGTTCGTAAAGTTTTGTCGCCGCACGTAAGTACTCTAAATTCAGAATCGTCTCTCTCTCTCTCTCTTTCTCTCAGAGAGTTATCTAATCTAGTTTCAAAATTCCAATAATTAATTGTCAACAAACTCGTGGTCGTTACTCTCGAGCTGGATCGCAACGATATCCGATAAATCAAAATATCCGACCGAACGCTCGGAGACGTGCGTCTCGCCGATGATGTATCGTTTTGCCGTGGATTCTCTCGGATCGGCGCTATTAGGCCATCGACATCGCCGATCCTTTTTGCCGGGGTAGGGGGAGGGGGAAGAGAGGAGGGGAGGAGTCACGCGAGGTGGACCTCGCGTGTCCCATGTGTCCCGTAAACGACGACGACTAGTATTATATCGGGCGTTTAACTAATGTGTCGGACCGGTTAGGAGCGTATTGATCGGAGACCGAGGCTAGATTTATGTCGGCGAATGATTCACGGCACGTGATTTACAACGGATTGTCCGCGGTGCGCGCGCATACTGATTGAGCATTTATGCCGCTCTCCCGGCACCGGTACGGCACACTAATCATTTATTGGGTTAAGGTGAAATTCTCCTTCCTCCCTCCACCGGAGGGTATATGATGTATACACTCGGATTTCTTATCCCCTTCTGCTTCAACCTCAGCATTTCGATATTACGTGACAAATGTGCACGGAATCGAAGAGTCACATTTGCAGAAAGAAATCGAAACTATATAATTGATTTGACAAGAAATATCGAAATAACTCGATTTGCAGATAAATTTCCTGCGCTTAAACGCTTTCTCGGCGTTTAAATGTGCCACGCGAGGAGAATAATATACGAAGCCGAAAAGTATTTAAATGCGAAAACTTCATCTGTAAATCGAGTTATTTCAAATTATTTAAATACTTTATATATGTTTCCCGAAATTTGATAAGCAATTTATTCACGAAATTTCTCGAGAAATCGGGTTACGGAATCGTAGTTACGTACTCGACGCGCGGCCGTTTATGTAAAGCTCGCAGGCATGTCACAGAGTGGTTACATTTTAGAAAGCGCGTTTACTCTAACGGCGGCGCGGTCGCAAAAATCGGCGTTTCCGTCGCCGATCGGAGTATTCGAAAGTCCCTCGGGAGAGCGAGCAGCTCCTTGTTTTTCATCTCTCGCTCTCCTCGATCCTCGATTACGAAGGCAGGACACGCGTCTCGCCCGTAGAATGTCGTCGTAACGAAGGGGCCTCTCTGCTCTTTCTCTCTTTCTCTCCCACTCATCTCCTTCCGTGCGTTCTCGCGGAGGTAGGATGCACCGCGGCTCTTCGGAGAGGAGCCCCCGTCCTTTACCTCCTCCAGCATCTCTCATCGGGGTGATCCCTCGGTACCGCGATGAACGTTTAAATTAGGCAGGGAATCCCTCGGAATGCGCGAAAGAAACGGCGAGGCCGGCATTCCGCGAGGTTTTGATACGCCTTTGGGGCGTATCGCGCTCATGGGGCATTATTAGCCCTTATGCGGCAGGAATGACTCTTAAGGGCCCGACCCGCGATCCTTCGCGCCGCGGCTTCGAAACACTTTGCACATTTTAAATCCTGCCCGCGGCAGCGGCGACTTCTTCGCGATGACATCTTCGCTTTACTATACATACGTAATTATTTTCTTGTTTTCCTTTATATTTGTACTGCATCACACGCTATTGTACATTTGTATTTGTATAAGTGCTCAATTTAACATGGAAAGAGAAACATATTTAGAAACCCAATAACTAATATATAATCTATTCAACGTGTAGACTTTAAATTATTTTTCAAATAATTTTTGTAAATATGTTTTATTTTTGCATATTTTTTTGACAAGATGTAGGTATATGTATTTACAAATAAAATAAAATATTATGCAAATATATTTATTCTAAGAAAATTAACATTTTCTTAAAGTATCTCTGAAAATCAATACAGAGAATCTTCGGCGACGCTTAAACGACGTAGCTTATAATTCTAGAATTAATAATATATAATGTATAACTCTATATGCGCGGCTTTTAAGTTACACTAATAAAAAACTTTCTTGGTTTCAGAGTCTGGCCACAGGTTGGACAGCGGCTCCCCGTTTTGGCGGATTCAACTTGACCAGGACCTTCTGGATACCATCAGTGCGATCTATCCGGAGTGGTTTAAAGTAAGACCTAATTTTTACCCTTCTCTCGCGCCGTAAAATTCGGCGTGCTCGAGTAAGCGGGATATAACAAGGTATACACCTTCCTCGTGCAGGATTACACTAACAGTCGAGCGGCATCGACGACGTCTCCCATCACGTCCGCGAGCGCTTCCTGCAACGACAGCGCCGCCGTGGTCGTCGTCACCGAACGCGGCGGTGAGCACAAGGTCGCCAAGGGCGACGCCAAGTCCAAGTCCAAGACGAAAAAGGCGGACGGCCATAAGGATAAGGAGCGGGAGAGGAAGGACCCTAGGCGCGACGCCAAGGACGAGAGGTGAGATATATAGTTCGCGTATGTATAATTCGCGCCGTATGTAGATTACGCGGCGTGGAGAACGAGAAGAGCCCGGGACTCGCCGGGCTGGGGGAGAGAAGGGGGGGGGGAGGTGAGGAAGGCTCGATTTATGTCGACCGAGTGTCAATAAAACCTCGCGACATAGGAGAAATGAGGAGGGTATCCGAGTCGCGTTATCACCTTCCGCCGGCTACCACAGCGAGTCTATAACCGGTATATGCACGCGTCTGCCGCGTTACAAACAGACGTAATGGAACACGTAGAAGTATATACGCGTGTTCCCGATCGCGCGCTGCTCGAGGCGTAAAGGCATGAAGGGCGTTATCGCGATCGAGAAATGTAGAACGGCGTCGTCGTCGTCGCTCGGCACCTGCCTCGCGATTATTTTAACAAGCCGCGCTCCACCCCGGCGCTTTGTCGCGCGTCACTGCCGTCTATCATTATCTCGGGAGGCGTTATTTCTATTAGGGCGCGTCGCACGCACTGCTCTTGCAGAAACGCAGCGGGAAGAAGACAACTCGCGCTAAGTAGCGGATTATCGCACGGGAGGACATCTCTTAGCCTGAGATCTCGCGACTCTCGCGGGGACTTTAATACGCTGCAGAGTAACCTCGATCTAATAATAATATTCTAATAACGTTAGTGATATTACTTCGATCACATTCTGAGTGACGCACGAGTTTCCGCAAGGGCCTCGTCATCCATTTCATGAATCACGGTTTTATTTACTCGATTTTACCCGTATAAGTGTCTGGCATTTAAATACAGCTTGGCAGTCAAAGTGTTTTAAGATTTAAATTTGACAGTCAAAAATAATTCAATTGTAGTAATATCTTAAGCTAGAATTGCGCGAGATGATAAAGCTCTGAATTTTTATTAATTAGATAATGTCTGAATTAAAATTTTCATTAAAATTAGATAACGTCCGAGTACTCGAGACGCAGTGCTTGAGTACTCAGATGCTTTTAAGTAACAATTAATATCTAGTCGAAGTTTGACCTGGAATTTTTTATTTTTAACAAATCCCTTAAGTGGGAGACACAAGTAGGATTAGTTCTCGCGGGGTCTCCGCAGCGCCTCAATCCGCCGCGCCGCTGCGAGAGTTGCGAGATCGCGCGCGAGATCGCTAGGGCCGCGCCGAGCGGACGATTAACCCGCAATTTAGTATCAGTACCGCGTGTAATCGTTACGCGAGAATATAAACGCTCTTAACGACCGGCTTCCTATCTCCAGCTGTGACGAGTAATCTTTTCTCGGAACTTTCCCCTCGGCCGGCGCGTACTTAAACTACCTCTCCGGAGACCGTTGGCTCTCTCGACGCTTTAAAATCTTTAATCGGCTCGCCAACTTCTCTTCTATACGTATGGATTCCGCGCAAAGCGCGCGCGCGCAATTTTCTCTGAACTTTTCGCGAGATAAAATCGAACAGGCGGATCTTTCGCGTGACATTTCGCTCGCAACACCGACGCCTCGTCCGAACCATCCGGATCCGCGAATCTCTCACGGACCTATCTCGACGGGACTCCATTGAGTCCATAAACGTTTTCACCCTTCGACGACTAGAAACGCTTATTTTTACCCTTTCGCCGCAAAAGGAGCGCGCGATTCTCTCTCTGTCTATTATACCGAGATTATGCACGTATTTTTTATTGTACAATATTTACGTCGCTTTCGTTCCTCTCACATATGATATTCGCGTTATCTGAGAACGAGTGTTGGGAGAAGATATATTTGCTTTAATGATAAAAGCATCGTAGAAACTCAATATACTGCGATACTAAAGAATTCAATTTCTCGTAACGTTAAATATTTTTTCTTTCCTAGCTCGTAACGTTAAGTTTATTTTCCATATCAAAATAATATAGTTTATGCAACTTTAATTTATTTAAGACAGAGCCGGTTTGCGGAAATTCTCGATGTGGAAACGACATATTATTTCTAGATATTATGTTCGGTTTATTTAAGATCGAGTATAGACTCGCGGAGATACACACTCGAGGTATAAACTCGCGACGTATGATACAGCTCGCGACGTCGCCAGACGTTTCTTGCTCGAGCGAAGATTCGCCTCGCGCTCGAAGAGAGGAGGAAAGAGCGGCCGTTTCCGACTTGGTTTTCTGATGAAAACGTCGTCCGTGCGAGTGTCGATTGATCCGTCATTCCGTCGTTCCGCGGCAAAAACACGCCGCGAAGGGCCGCGGGGTCCGATTGACACTCGAGCGTCGATCGCGGCCTTCTCTCTTCGAAAGCCGACGTATGAAAGATTAATTCACAAAACGGCGACGTTTTGCTCGGTTTCGGTCCGTTCTTCGGGCCTGCAGGGACGCTGGAAACGGTAAGAAAGGGACGAAGCCCTCGCCGCAGCAGGATAAAGCAGCGGCGGACGCGGCTGGAAGGAAGGCCGCGAGCGCTGTCCCAGGATCGGAATCGAAGATGGCCGAGGGCAATCAGTCGCCGCCGAAGGCGGAGGTCGACGATTCACCCCTTCAGCACGCCATGGATCGCAACAAAGAATGTGAGTACACCATCTTTCTTTTCCACTGCGTCCCCGCGAAAATATTAATCTGATGTGAGAATTTCGAAGACCAGCGAAGAAGTCGCCTTCGTATTGGTCGGATCTTTTGCGCCAAGAAACTTTTAGAGAAACGTGTGTTTAAACATCAGCCACTTTTGTATTTAGAAAATTTATATTTAATTTCTTCACGAAATTAGCACGAATTTATATATATATTAGGTTTTTTTTATTATTCTATTACTGACAAAGAAAAATATTTTTTACATTTTTAATTGCTTTTATTTTTTTGGTCAATTATTATCAATTTAAATCAGTTTAATTATATTATGTGTTCAATTTAAAATTTAAAATTGGACACATAATTAAACAAAAAATTAGAAATTGCATTTTCTAATTTTAGAAATTCATGTAAAGAGGTTAATAAATGTAATTTAGTTAAGATTTCCAATTCCAAAATTCTAGTTTTCGTAAATGTAATCATATTGATCAGACGCGGCATGTGTCGGTCAACGAAAATAAATGGAAGAGATAGGAATCGTCAGAGTGACACTTTGTGTACATTAAGTTCCGTTCGCCGACACTCGCTCTTTCTTCTTACAATTCGCTCTGTCATCGTTTCTCACGCGGCGCACTTACTTCCCCCTGGGTCGTAGAAACGGAAGCGTCGCTTCTCGACGTCCGGAATAAATGATGAAAAGACCTAACGGTCCCCCGTCGCGACGATCGCTTCCGATCGAATAATCGCGCGCGCGCGCGCACGCGCGAGGTGTTCGCTATTATTATATGCGATGCAATTCGAGCTGACGCGCGCGAGCGTGTTGCACGCTCGGTCTCTCGTCGCGGGTATTATACATACCCCGGCGATATTACACGACGTACACCGCCGAAGCACCTCCTCGGGAAGGCGCCGGTAATCGAGGAGGCATAGGCGCGGAGAGAGGATGGCTCTTTTTAACATTCGCGGGCAACTTGCCCATTATATCCCACGGCGACTGTAATCATCCGCTCGTTATTCGGCGCATAGCGAGAGAGCCGGCCCACGATTATCGATTCGGAATCCGGCGATTTTTTATCCAATAAAGAAACGCGCGGAGCTTTTATCGTCGTGCAAAATGCAGCTCTCCGAGCCATTCGCCACTTCCGTTACTACTACCACTACCAACTACCGGCGCCGGCGATCGGCCGATCCGTTCTCAAGCTTATAGACCTCCGTTTCGTATTCGGAACGCGACTTCCCACGGGCAGGATAGAGGTATCAGTCACATCGGACTCTGCCGCACTATTCGATCTTGCCTTTTTCTATGTAAGCGACAAACGTGCAAATATTCGACGCGAATCTATCTCAATAGATGTGTTCTAATCTTATATAGAAATAATTTTCTTGTTATAAATCCTATTTTATTATAAATAAATAAATAAATAATAATTTAAGAGCGCCTTCTACAGTCGAGGCTGGATTTTAGTATCCAATAATATTTCTATATGAATTTTAAAACTATATTATTCAGCCATTTAAACTTGCGCCGAATCGTATTTTATTTTTATTGTTATAAATATTGTCACCCATATATAATAATTTTACCGCATAGCTTTTAAAAAATTTTTTTAAATCAGCTTAAAAATATTTGTCGTTCTCTCTAAATTTTCTAGAGTGAATCTCACTCCAAAAGAGTGAAATCTCACTCCAAAAGAGCGAAAATACTGTCACTCGGCCACTTGAGTGGCAGTATTTTCACTCCTTAGAGTGAAATTTTACTCCAAAAAATTTAGAGAGTTCAATTTTAAATGCAATTAGTCGCCATAAAAAATATCCGAGATGTTCTTAATATACGTTATACGTCGAATAAACGAAACTGATTTCAAAAAAATCGCCCGAAGACAGGCATGTAAATATCTCTCGATACCCGCTTTGAGAACTTCGCACGCAGCGGGTTTCTTCCGCGGTGAATCGAACGCGCGTGCCCAGTTTTTTTCGCGTCCACAAAATTCCGCGTATATACGTCGCGTCGATTCGTCATGGTCGAACTTCTCGTTGAAAGCCACAGGCCATCGCGTGCGCGGTCTTTAGAACGCGATCATTTTGTCGCGTTTATCGATCGCTTTTTCTGTAATTACTTGCCATTCGGCGCTCTCGAGACGCTCTCCCTTCACAGTTCCGCGCGAAGGACGCGCATCGGCGACTCAACGGGAGCACACGCGGCACGCCTGAACAATGCGTGCGTACCACTTTCATACGAAGGAATACAGTGTCACCGTCGACGGTCGTGGAAATCATTAATGACCTTTCTTGAAACTTTTTTTAAAGAAAAATAAACCAAAAGACACGCATTTCGAAGTAACCTGTCGCGAGGAAAGTGATTTTATAGAGTTGAATATTGAGCTCTTGAATAAACTGTAACGGTTAAGATAAGATCGTTTTACTAAAAAAAAAGTTCCGAATTAATTTTAAATATTTAATATTTAATCCTCCGTTGGCAATCTGGGTCTTTTAAGCCATAGTCGATTTTTTTTATTGTGAATTTTAAGAGAATAAATATAGATGGCGAGATTTTTTAAAGAAAATGCGTATCCTGCCTTAAAAATATTTTTCTATTATGCTAGAAACTTTATTTCTGTTATTTCTCAAAAGGTTTCGCGAAAGGCTTCACAAGTATGAGTTATTTCAGATTTTTATTATATATAGTGCGGAGCAATAAAAAAAACTGCTGTGGAGGCTTTAAAGACTTATTTTGGGAAGAAATGTAGATTGGAATTTTCACAGCAGGGTTAACAGCGAATTCCTTCAGAATTCATAGAATTGACGTGTGTAACCGATATTATTGTTGAATCTCCGAAAAGTTTGGCGAACGCGAATTTCTTTCGATCTGTTGCTTGATCACCTGCATATACATGTGCGCATACTTTGATCTCTGCGTGTGTGTATGTGTATATGTATGTGCGACTGCTACGAGAAAGAGACAGTGCCGGGCATTCGTGCAGACAGGTAGGTGCAGATTCGCGTGTGAGGGCCGTGTACACGCGTGTATATATATACACACACGGGAGACAAGAGGCGTGCCTATTTATAACGGTGATATCATCGCCGATTACCTACGCTTTCGCGTGGACAATCGTAAATTCTCGTAGCAGAAGGGTGCGGGTTTGATGCCTTACCAAATATTTGTCGCGATTTTTCTTTTCGTTTCCTTTTACTTCTCTTTTATCTTTATGTATACATTTGAATACATAAATAATACACTGAAAAATATATTATTAACATATCATTAAAATGATATAATCTGTTTTTTTTCCTTTTTTGTGACTTATCTCTGTTTTTTTTTATAGCGCATCAAGTGTAACTCAAAACATATCTCGACTAATTAAGAATTCCTTTAATCTTTCTTATCTGACTAAGAACATCCTTTTTCACTGGCTTTCACAAACTAGTTATATTAACATCTGATCACATTTGCAATATTCTAAAGCGAAATAAATACAAACTATGTAATAAAGGAAAATAAAAGAAAAGTAGCACACTTGAAAAGATTAAATTTAATTATCTTTCATTATTATAAATAATAATAACTTACGATAATATTAAGATATTGGTAGATATTACTAATGAAACAACATTTTTTTTAATTTGTAGCCATTATCGATTGGCATATTTACGTTGAATTTTATTTGTTTTCTCAGGATTTTTATAAATTGCAAATTAATTGTAAAAACATACATCGTATATCAAACGACATTTTGATGAGTTGTGTTCAATTTCGTAGCGACGTTGCAAAGCGAAGTAATGAATCTCTTAGTGGCTGACTCGCGGGTGTATCGCGGGTGTACTTGAAACGCGAAAGTATACGCCGGTTACGCCGAGCTAATTATCGTCGGCGTATCTCGCCCTAAACGACGACGATGCATGCACTCGTTATACCGGTGCGCGAATTTGCGCGCTCGTTTCGTAATGGGAAATTATGTCAGAATTATGCGCGCCGTGCGCTCTCGGAGGCCTCCTTTCCATCCTGTAAAACCGATAACCTCGAGTAGCTCCGCGACCGCGCGCTTAATGAGACATCATCATTAATAAAACGTCCCACGCGACAAGCTCGTTCGGTCGTTACAAAAATTGACGCGGTCTTTTTTCTTCTTTTTTTTTTTACTCAACAGCGATAGATTTAAAAACAAGCAATCGATTAAAGTCTTCATTATTGTGCTGCATTATTAAGCTATTGCTTCGATATTGTTAGTGTTCTCCAAAGCTGAGCCTTCTCTAATTTCATAACTACTTGTTCTTTTAAAAAATTTTTAATTATACACTTATTTCCAAATTCCTCCGCAGTAAGGGATGGCTTTGTAACTAAAATCTTGCCTTGCTTATATTAAACGATAACATTACCTCATATTGAAGATTCCAAGATTTCAAACGGATCTGCAAACAAGCGATTAAAATTCCGTCCGAAGTAAGAAATGCTTTGTAACTGAAACATTACTTCGCCTCGCTGAAAGGGTAACATAAATTATCTCATATTTAAGATTCCAAGATTTCAAATAGATTTGCAAACAAGATCAATTGATTAAAATCTTCTCTATATAGTTATTCTCTCTTAAATGTGTCTTTTTAATCTGCTATTTCCCTTAAAAATTTTTATATGACTATTTGCAAATTAAATTCCTCCAAAGAAATACTTTGTAACTTTATCTCGCTTATCAAACGATAACATAACTTATCTCGTACTTAAGATTTCAAGATTTCAGAGTCACTGCTTCGCGTTTGAGGATTATGAAGTTTTTAAATCCGCCGGTGGTGAAGCGAAGACGGGAACGTATTTTCGCCGTGAAACGGATCGCGCGGAAACGAATTTCGTGCGCCGAGCGCTAATTGTCGCCAGCGATAATACGTACGAGACGCCTTGGGAATTCCGTGTAATTAAAAGGAAGGGACAGAGTGAGAGAGAGAGAGAGAGAGAGATCCAGCTTCCACACTTCCTCGTACACCGCGTATCGCGATAGCGCGGAGACCC